TATAAAGATGTTAACAGTCATATTACACGGTTCAATCATATTCAACCATTTCTGGTATACAAAATGCTTAGACATATTCAAGGTTACATTCTATACTTACTTTTAGTTATGTTTGTCACAATTTACTTCATACATGATAACAAAAATACTATATCTGTCCTTTTTATAAACTACGTCTTGAGAAACTATGTCAAAATTCAATTATTTGTGGGTCAAGTTACATAAAATTAGACAAAATCAGATTAAAGGTATTGTTTGGAACTGTATTCAAAATATTGTTGGATTGAATAAAAGCATGTGTTCTTTAGCCACTCATACAATCTCTTTTTAAAGATTGTAAACGGTAAGTTTATGATTTCCCTTGGCAATTTATTGTACACTTTTATAGCCATTATATAGAAATTATTGGAAATAAATTTTTTCTTTGTTTTTGGAATTATCAGCCTTTCTCCGAATCGGCTACTATACATTGCAATTTCATTATGCTCAACAAAAAGGTACCGGTTATTTTTTACAAAAAGGCTTAATTCATATATGTACATCCCAGTTAGAGTCAATATACCTAGTTTAGGAAATAGCGTTCTACAGCTTTCTAATGGCCCAACATTACAAATTGCACATACACACTTTTTCTGCGCTAAAAATACTTTACTTATTTTTACAGCATTTCCCCAAATTATCAGACCGTATCGTAGAACTGATGATATGTATCCATGGTAAGCAGTTAATGCGGCTTTTTGTGAAATACATTTTGATAGTTTTCGGAGCGGAAATATGAATTTATTTATCTTTTCGCAAACACATTCTATATGCTTCTGCCATGTACATTTGTGGTCCAAATTTAATCCAAGGAATGTAATTTCATTAACCTCTTCTATATTTTGACTATTGTAAATAATTTTTAGATCTTCCTTTTTTCCAATAATGCTGAATTGAATTAGTTTGGTTTTATTAATGTTAACCGAAAGGTTATTTTGTTCCAACCAGTGCATTACTGCTTCTACAAATTTGGAGATTTCGTAATTGTATGTTGTTTTATCATTACATTTGACAATTACTGAAATATCATCGGCAAATAAACAACATTTATGATGGAAAGCATTTGAGAGATCATTTATGTAAGTAAGGAACAGCAATGGCCCTAACACACTGCCTTGGGGAACTCCACTAAGATTTTTTTCTAAATTCTGATCTGTATGTTATTGCTGTCATATTGTTATTAATTCCTGAAATTTCTACACATTGTTCACGACCAGTTAAATAATTCTCAATCCATGACAGAGCCGGCCCTCTTATACCGTACTTGTATAGCTTATGAAGAAGTATTGGGTGAGAGACGAAGTCGAACGCCTTACTTAAATCAAAAAATAAAGTAGATACGGGGATGTTTTTGTCAATTGCTGTTAATATCTCCTTTGTAAGCGAGTACATGGTTAAAACGGTTGACTTTTTCTTATGAAAAGCAATTTGTTCTTTATGAAGAACATTGTATTTCAAGAAAAAATCATATATTCTGGAATGCATAACTTTTTCAAATATTTTAGAGAATATTGGTAATCAACGCAACGGACGATAATTCCCTACGTCATTTTTATCGCCTTTTTTGTAAAGTGGTTTAACTATTGCCTTTTTTAGTGGTTTTGGAAAAACTCCAGCTGAAAACGAGAGATTAACTAGAAATGCAAGAACAGGTGATATTACATTGGCACATCCTTTGAGAATCTCTGTTTGAATTTCATCATATCCTACAGCTTTAGTTTTGTTTAGCGTACTAATCACTTTTTTAATTTCATATTCATCACATGGTCGAAGGAATATACTTGACATATTTTCTTTGCATAGAAATGTGCTAATATATCCAGACATAGTACTCGTATTCGTCATGTTAATAAAAAAATCATTGAATATATTCGCAATTTTTGATTTGTCTCTGATAATTTCATTTAAATTTTTAATATTCGTAATATCATTCAGAAAAGGATCATATTCATTCTTTTGTTTAATAATGGCCAATGAGCTCTACACTTGTTTCTACTGTTCGAAATATATTTGTTATTATTAATTTTTTGTGACAATAAGATACCTCTTTTTAATAGTTTTGTATATTCACCATATTTTGCTTTTAAGATATTCTTTTCTGCATGTTTAGATCTATAATAATTATATCGAAGAAGTCTCTTTTTTCTGAACGATATTTTAAGTCCTTTTGTTTACCATCGCGGAGAATTTCTTCTGTTTTTGATTCTTATCTTTATAACAGGAAAACATAAATAATAATTTAAAATCATTATAGAATTTTTCAAATGCAATGTCAAAGTTTGTTTCATTGTATATGTCATAGAATGATAATTTATGTAATATTTGCTGAAATTTTTTACAGTTAACACTTTTGTAATCGCGTTTCAGAATATAGCGATAATTATCAAAAGTCTTTTTTTGTGCTTTGATCGGAATTATTAGTGTTTGTCCTATATTATGGTCCGATAGGCCAAGCTCATGAACTTCACCTTTTGCATCTTTAATGTTACTTGAGAAGTGATCGATACACGCATTTTGTCTTGTAGGCATTTGTATATGTGACTCTAAATTATAATTGTACAATATTTCTTTATATAATTGGGAATATTTTGTAATTTTTAATATGACAATGTTAGAATCTCCTGTTAAGACGATGTTTTTCGTATCTTTCATTGTTAATTTGTGTAGCATTAGTTGTAATTTATTTAGGAAATTATTAATGTTAATGTTTTAAAGCTTACATGGCAAACGATACATAATTTTTCTCCTCCCCTAGTTTTATTCAATTAGATAAATTCTTTTGCCTAAAATTCAATAAATCAAATTGAATTAAAATAATATGCCAATCACCCCGCTCACACACACATCACACTACTCAAAGGTTAGCAAATTAACAAGCAAATTCATGCTGTTTACCGGAATTTTAGAAACGGTTTTGAAGGACCACAAATTGTTATTGGAAAAGCTAACTTAAATAACATTTTTGAACAACGAAACTAATTTTTAAATTGGAAGCTTTAGCCACCAAGCTAAAGGTCTGATTGCCACCCCGGCGAAAATCTTAACGTCTTTTATCTACATTGATTTTTAGCATTTGAAGCAATGCAGCAAAGCAAAGTCAGGCCGCGAATGCCCAAGACGTGGGTTCGATTCCCACAGTTCTTTTCGTACTTTTTCTACAAATTTTAATAACGAAATAAACGAAATTTAAAAAAAATCACTTCGCCCTTATACGAGAGCGCCTGCAGTACGAGATTCCTTTTTTCTATGTTTTATTAACGTTGAAAAATATCCTTCATATATCACACCAGCCTTGTTACATAACTCGCTGTGGGTAGCACAGCGAGTTATGTAATGCAATGTAATAATAGAATGTACGTAATGCGGTAACACGTAAACGCAATGTTCCGCAAAGCCTGGCGCGACTGTGGTCTTCACTCTCCCCCCTCCAACCGGGTTCCCAACTGGTCATGGCGGAAGTGCATGGAAACCGTGGCTTGGTCACCCGTTGAAGCCAAAAGTGGCCCACACTGGGCCGGCCTCCGAATGGGCTCGTTAAGCCCACTCTGATTGCGTGCTGGGGGGTGCATGGAATAGGTCATCCTCATAACAGGTAGGGGAGGAGCCACTCTGTCTTCTGCTACCGAAGTCGAGCCGTGGAAGAAGAACTGTCGGTATTGGGTTTGGTCGCTCTCTCTATCGTCCGCCACTTGGTACGTCTGTACTGCTGATGTAGAAGTGATGGGGCTGCGAGGGGAGAGGAGTGTCGGTATTGCGATACGCAAATTCTTCCTAGTACCTATCCTCAGCCGAAACGGTGGAGCCACAGACCAGGTCCTTATTAACACTGTCTCTTCTGGCTCCCATGGTCAGTGGATGCTGTATGTTCCAGCGTACCTTACCTGAACTTACCCGAGAAGGGGCTGCTCATCTGCTGCCCCCTGGCTCGGCTATCATGGGAGAAGGTTACGCGATACTAGTCTCGGGCGGCGGATTTTATGATTTTCGTGATGGTAGTTGCCTTCCTTTCTGTCTCCCCAGCTTCTTTCCAGGTGATTACGCCTCGGACGACGCAAGGACAGCACACAATGACCTATCGCTGTCCACCATGATGCGAACCACGACGGGAAGCGATTGGTCGCGCCCCATGAGCTGTCTATGCTGCTCCCGCCAGGCTGAGCAATCGTCCAGTGCGTGTTGAGTTGTCTCCTCGGCACATACGTCACCACGGTAGTCCGCTGTGCACTCCCTCCCCGCCTCGCGCCACAGGTATCTCCCGAAACAGCCATGTCTCAGACTTGCGTCGAGGTAGGTAAGGATGCCGTGATGCCTGTGTCGCCATCCACTGAGTATAGGACATATGGCCTCAATGGTACATAGGCCGACTCTAGGGTACTCCAGCCTTTCCTCCCACACAGCAATAGTAAGAGACCGCAATCGTTTTCTGCACCCCCGCAAGGCCAGCAAGTCACCTTTGTCCATTGCCTCCTTGAGCTTGGAGTGTAGTGACGTGAGAATACCGGCTTCTAGGTCCCAGGAAAAGGGCAGACAGCACGCATGACGCTTCTCCGGAGATTATCCGGTTGCTCCGTGTGATCCGTATAGCTAACATCCTCTGCGATTACCGCAGAACTCCTACGGCCCGGCGACGCAGCGTATAGTTCGAAATTCCTATATTAACCTCTCTTTCGGCAGGAATTTGATCTCTTCAGATCTTTTACACACCACTGGATTAGTAGCTCTCCACGAAAGAGTTGGCTCCAATCGGTTAATGGCATATTTATTGTTATTTACTTGTTAATAATTAACATTACTCATTTTAGTATATTAATGTTACATCATAATAATTTAATCTACAACGTGTCGCGTATAAATTAATTCGTAGGCACTACACAAAATAAGAGGTTGCGAATAAATAAAATGATAATAAGTGGAAAAGTTATTTACTTTTATAGTCAGATATCTAACATGGCATCTATTTAGTTAAGAATGTCAGGAAGGACAACAGCAGGGGCAGGAACGATAGGTTGAGCGACAATGACAGCTTCAGGAATGCTTGGCTGTTCTACAACGATGACGGGCTCAGGAACGATGGGCTCAGGGACAACGGGCTTGTCCACTACGATAACTGACTCAGGAGCCTCAGGGTTGTCGACCACGATCACGGGCGTAGGGATAATAGGCTTCTCTTCGACAACCTCGGGGTTGGGAACGATTGGCCTGTCAATAATAACGGGCTCAGGGGTGGGGTTGCTCTCAACAGCTACATCAGAAGAGGACTGAATGTTCAGGATGATTTGAACTAGAGGAGCCTTAGCAGGGGGACCGACGGGGGTGGGCTTAACAGGAGTAGGGGGTAGGGGGAAATCAATGAGAGCGGGTCCAATAGAAATGGGTTCGTATTCGTCAACGATAGCGGGTCCAATGGAAATGGGTTCCTCGTTGTCAACGAGTGCGGGTCCGATGGAAATGGGTTCTTCATTGTCTACGAGAGCGGGTCCAATGGAAATGGGTTCCTCGTTGTCGACGAGTGCGGGTCCGACAGCAATGGGCTCGGGCTCGGCGAGACCAAGAACTTGGAGAAGCAACTGCTCGAGAGCGGCAGCAGTGGCGGGATCTGTGCTTGGGCTCTGGATGGCGGCTACGATTTCCTGGATCTCCGGGTTCTCGCTGGTGATGACAGCGGGAGGAATTACGCCGGCCGAGGCCACGGCAAACAGAGCGAAAGCAATAAGGAATTTCATAGTCTCTGAAAATAAATAATAAGTTATCAGCCTTACATGAAATCCCCGTCTGACGGCTAATTTACACACGTATTGACAATTTTATCTATAGAATTTGAACAGGAAGTTAAAGATTTTGTTCATTTATCTGCAAAAATTTACAATTTAAAGGAAGTAAAAATGGAATTACTTACTTTTAGTTTTAAGTGCAACTAGAAACTAGGTGAAAAGAATTTTATTCCGACTATTTATACCAGAAAGCTTAATCTTAAAAAGTAAATATAATCTGATAATAAAGATAAATAAATACCTGGTTATTTATAACTTGATATTTTTACGGTGTAGGTAGGTATAATAAAGAAGTTCTTAAATCAAATATTCTCATTTGGAATATTTCCTCATTGTATTTTTAATGATTCAATTGTAATGTGATAAAGGAGGATTTAATTGTTTCAAATGTTTTGATAAAAACTATTAAGGTGTGGATTAGCTGTTATGTCAGTTGTAGACAGGCGCCACAAAGGTGAAATTGAATTACTCTAATAAGAGTATTACAATTATAGAAATTCTTACTAGCCACAAAAATGCCACCTATCGTATTTTATCTAAGGAAAATGAAATTAAAAAAAAACTTAGCAAACTTTGTTTTTGAATGAACTTTAGAATATAAACTAACAATTTATCCCAAAGCAAACTAAGCTACTCCTTGCGACTTGGTTTTTATTTTATTTTTAAAAAGGTTTTCGCTGCTTGGGGTCTTTTTAGTCATTATTACAGAATCACCTAGCAAGATATGTCTTATAATTTAGATAGGCTCATCCCGGCTATTCTAACCAACAGATAATTGTTTCGGATCTGGGTCTTTGTTCACTTATTAAATTAAAAAGAATTTAAAACGTCCATACAACACAGGATAATGTTATTCTACACTAAGGGCAATTTGAAAAAAAGAACTCCATTATTTAAACCAAATTAATTAGTGAAAACCGGAATAATGCATGACTCCAACAAGTGCAACAGGTAGCCGTCGCTGATCACGAATGTCCTATCCTTCTTTTTTGGCTGAATAAACCACTGTTGGCCTTGAAGGGCCGGACTTGAGGTAGCCGGGCTTTAAGGGCACCTAGCCTGTGTACCTCGATTATGGGTGAATATTATTTTTTTCACCAGTTTGGGAGGTCACCAAGCTCTTAGGTCGCTTTGGCGGACGCGCCATGAAAAAACTAGGCTTGACTGTCCCTGATGGTGTCCGAGAGGCCCGGACCTCGGCTCGATTGGTGGCTGTAGTCCGACTAAGCTGCCATTACTACCACTTTGGAAAGCGTTAGCGCTGGGAGCAGAAGTGACGAAAAAAACTCCAGCAACGCTTCTATCATTAACGGGAAAACCTAGTATATGTTTGCCGCACTAGCTGGTGGGTGCGGTGTGTTTTTGTGTGTTTCCGTAATTGCTTTATCCTGTCGATGGCGATAGTCTTGTCATCGTCAGGGATATCGAGGATGTGTCGCGGTCTAAGCCATTTGCGCCGGAACGCATAAAGCTATGCGTTCAGCCGGAAACGACTAACGGATTGTGATGCGCGGCGGTGGGCTCGAAGTAGCGACTTGACGTCGACTTTAGGAATTAAGCGATGGTGGGTAGCTCTAAATCTACATGTAAGTCTATGTTGCGCATGAACCACGGTGCTCCCGCAACTCTGCCCAAAAATAGATTCTGGACGACCTGAAGCCGTTGTATTTGCTTCAGAGCAATGTGCGCGAAAACTGGACTCACGTACGTCATTACAGGGGTCACCTTGTTCCAAAGGTACATATTTGACGTTTTATTAATTAGAGGATAAAGGCGACCGAGTACGAAGACCGCCCCGTTCTTTACCCGAGTCACGTGCTAACTAAAGTTGAATTATAATCAAGGACAACACCTAAGTATTTTACTTTATTTACCCATGGTTCCGCACCATCCATTAGTTTAACGGGTGGGAGTCCCTTCGTTGAAACCGGCTTATATAGCTTGATGGAAGGGAGTTAAAGGCATTCGGTGGGGATATCGCTGCATTGTGCTATTTACAAATTTCTTATTAGGTACGTGCATGTTTTTTTTTTATTTTTTTTTTTATTTTAACAAAGTAACTCTACAGACTCGTGGTCCGTACTCTTTTTTGATTAACATGGTTTTTTTTTTGTAAATTTTCTTTTTGGGCTGTAACCGCCGCGTACATCAACCGGGCTGGTAGCGGTGCAACAGTGAGTTCATATTTATATATTTTTATTATTATTTTTTTTTCTTATTATATTTTTTTCTTCATAAATATATATACATATATATAAAATATTTAATTTATATATATTTTTGAACGGAACAGTTTTTTCTGTAGGGAGAATGGACGGAGATCTCGTCGTCGCAGGTTATTTGGTAACGTTTGGTACGTGCATGTTGCAGGTCCAGTGGCGGACTAACCAGGGGTCAAAAGGGCGGCCCGCCCCCGGCCCCCGGTCCTGGGGGGCCCCCAAACGCCTTCATGTTCCCTTGAAAAAATCCTAAACAGGGCTTTAAAATTTTGTTTTGTGCCTATCTAAGAAGTTGAAGTTGGCCTATATTATTTTATTCAGATAAAATACGAATACTTACCTAAATATATTCAGTCTGAACTGGTAATTTACAATTTATACATAAAATGATCGTATCAGCCGTATTAAAGCTACGGGGCCCCAGGGCTACAGAGGCCCCGAACGAATAAAATAAAACGGAGTTAATCTCTTAGGTCGTATTTTCCGGAAAAAATCATAACTTATACAATATCATACACGATATACCTATATATATGTTGACTGGCAGAGAATGCCTAAAGGCATTAAGTGCGCCTATTGTGTTTCGTATTAAAGAAAATTCAATAAAGATTAGATAAATATAATAATGTCGTACACGAGGTTTGCCATGTTTGCGCAGTAATGGCATGAAATCAATAGTAATATTACTTTCTGGCGAGATGTAGCATAATTGTTAAACTTTAGCATCAGGTAATGCAAGATGGTAAAATTTTTATATGAAAGCATGATTACATGATGCTAAAGTTGTAAAATTCAGAGGCCATTATTCTATATATGAAAATATCATGTCAATTTTACGTTTACTATCTAATTATGGACTTACATAACTTAATTAATACTAATATGATAATATAATTAATACGAATATGATAATAATAATGTTTTTCTTGGAATAACTCTCGATGCAAAACTTCAATAGGGCCCTATAATATATTCAATATACTCGAGCAACCTGAGTTCGATCCCTGGTGCCGGCACCAATGAAATTGTTAATTTTAAGTGCCAAATTATCACGTGCTCAGCAGTGAAGGAAACCTGCATATTTTCTAAATAATAACAAAAAAAAAAATTTCGAAGATATATGAAGTCCACCAATCCGCAGTGGGGCCGCGTGGTATATGCCCTGATACCCTCTGTACAGAGGAGGCCTTTGCCCAGCAGTGGGACATGTATAGGCTGATACTTTAAAACGACGAGGAAGGTGCAACGTGCGTTCTTTAGTTGCTCAAGTCGTACCATTGGCTCATTTGGATTATTTTGACAATTTAGAAAAAGGTGTAAATATTGCTGAACTTTCATTTTATAAAATAAAACATTTTATTAACATACAAGGATATTTATATTAAAAAAATCTTTTATTCATCGACATAAAAAAATACATTTCATTTATCGATAGTCATTTTTTTCTCATCTACCACCGTTTCGTAATGAGGTTCCTCTAATGGAGAAGAAACAGGCGAAAGAAACTTCGTAGGTATCCTCATTTTTGTAATTTTTTTTCTTAAAAAAATTAAAATATTATACAACTGATTTTTTTTTCCTTTCAGAAATAGCTTGGGAGGATTCAACTCATTCCCAGGGGTTATTTTAATTAATGTATTCATTTGTATTATAATAACCCTTTTCATAAAGTTTTTCTTTAATAAATTTCTTAAACCTGTTAATAGGCAGGTTTTGCGCATTTACTGGGATTTTGTGGTAAAAGCGTATACACCGCCCCATGAACGAGTTACTTACTCTATGGAGTCTAGTAATTGGCGTTACAAGCTTGTGTTTGTTCCTAGTGTTTACATTATGTACATCAGTATTCTTATTAATATTATTAATATTTCTACGCACATACATAACATTTTCATATATATATTGAGAGGCTAAGGTTAATATATTTATTTCTTTAAACTTCTCTCTGAAGGATGTATTCAAATGTAGATTATAAATAGCTCTTATGGCCCTTTTTTGCAAAATAAAATTGTTTCTATATCGGCCGCGTGCACCCATAACAAAATGCCATATGACATTATACTATGGAAGTAACTAAAATACACAATTCTAGCTGTTTTTACATCAGTTAGACATCTTAGTTTCCTTATAGCATACGCTGCAGAACTCAGTTTATTCGCAAGTTTGGATATATGGCTGAAGCTTTGCATCGAGAGTTATTCCAAGAAAGACAATCGTATCCACAAGGTCCCATTTATAAGTACATTGTTAGCACCCAAATGTTTTATTCCCATTTAATAGTAAATTGTTAGTATTAAACCAATAGACTATTTCTGACATAGCATTATTTACCTCGTCAAGTGTAACAAGCTGTCGATCGATTTCAAAAAGTTAATGATGTATCATCGGCAAATAACACTATATCGTGTATAAACACGATATAGTGTACGATGAATGATCTTCCTTACTTTGTAGGGAATAATCCCTACAAAGTAAGGAAGATCATTAATGTAAATGAGAAAGAGAAATGGGCCGAGAATCGAGCCCTGCGGAACGCCCCTAGATTCCATCGTCCCAGAAGAACTAGCAAAATCAAAATATATTTATTCAAATAGACGCTTGCGCGCTCTTATGAATCGTCAAATTTTACATCAAAGATTATGTGTATAGGTTCGTAAGGTACCACCGGTTCGGAAAGCGGTTTCTGTTGAGAAGAGACCGGCAAGAAACTCAACTGTTGCTCTTTTTCAAAAATATCAGGGTACAATATAATATACAGGTATAATAGTCTTATTCTAGCCTACGTGAGTATCAACAGTATTAACTCCACACATTGGCGTCGTCGAGATATTCCGAAATGGTATAATATGCTTTAATCATCAGTTGATTTTTAATTTTACATTTAAATTGGTCAAGCGGCAGACTTAATATCGACTGTGGGATTTTATTATACATGCGTACACTTTGCCCCATGAACGACTTATTTACTTTTTGTAGACGAAACAATGGCGTAGTAAGTTTGTCCTTATTTCTAGTGTTTATTTTATGTCTGTCACTATTCTTTAGGTAATAATTAAGGTTATGACGTATATACAAAACATTACAATAAATGTATTGAGAAGCAACAGTGAGTATATTAACCTCTTTGAAAAGATCTCTGAGTGAATTCCGGGCTCCGATATTGTAGATTGCTCGGACAGCTCTTTTTTGAAGAATAAATATAGTATTTATATCTGATGCACTACCCCACAACAAAATGCCGTACGACAAGATGCTGTGAAAATAACTAAAGTAAACAAGTCTGGCAGTGTCGATGTCTGTTAGCTGCCTAACCCTTCTAATCGCAAAAACCGCGGAGCTCAGCCTATTCGCAAGAGATGATATATGGGGACTCCACTGGAGCTTTGAATCTACTGTAATTCCCAGAAATACAGCAGACTCAACTGGATTAATGGGTACGTTATTTAATATTAAACTAAAACTTTTCCTTCTTATACTGGGAAGGGTAAAAAGAATACATCTGGTTTTTTTGGCATTTAATACCATATTATTAATAGTAAACCAGTGGAGGATATGTGAAAGCGCACTATTCACGTCGTCATAATTTAATACGTTTCGGTCAACTTTAAAAATAAGCGATGTATCGTCAGCAAACAGTACAACATCACACAACCCACTGGCATAAAAGGGGAGATCATTAATGTATACTAAAAATAATAATGGGCCCAAGATTGATCCTTGTGGGACTCCCATTTTCATCTGGGACCCAGTGGAATTAACATCATTTATAGATACTTTTTGAATTCTATTACTAAGGTAAGAGGCAATGAGATTGAGGGCGATCCCACGAATGCCATAATATTCTAGCTTTTGAAGGATAGTTTTATGGTCTACGCAGTCGAAGGCTTTTGAAAGGTCACAAAAGACACCTATTGCATCTTGTGACCTTTCCCAGGCGTTATAAATATGTTTGACAAGTGCGACGCCCGCATCTGTTGTCGATCTGCCTTTAGTGAATCCATATTGCTCATCGTGAAAGATTTTGTTCACATTAAAATGAACTAAAAGTTGATTTAATATTAGCTTTTCAAAAACTTTACCAAGAGATGGCAATATGGAAATAGGTCTATAGTTGCCTGGATCATTTTTATCACCACTTTTGTAGCACCATTAATTACAACTTTTCGAATTCTATTAGATAAATATGACTTAATGAGGTCAAGCGCGGTACTTTTAATGCCATAATGGCACAATTTCCTGATCAGTGTTTCATGATTCGCGCAATCAAAAGCCTTGGAAAGATCACAAAAGACACCCAGAGCATCCTGTGAACTCTCCCAAGCCTCAAATATATGTTTGATCAGCTCTACACCAGCATCGTTTGTAGAACGACCCTTTGTAAAACCAAACTGGTTGTGATGTAATAATTTATTTAAGTTAAACTGTGTTAACAGCTGATCTAGCAGACGTTTTTCGAAAATTTTACTAAGTGTTGGTAGAAGAAATGGGTCTAAAATTAGTGGGGTCCGAAGTACTACCGTATTTAAATACAGGTATGACTTTACTGTGTTTCATGAGATCAGGAAATACGCCAGAATTCTACTGTTAAAAATTATTGACAAATAAGGTGCGATTGAATCTATTATTGAAGCAGTCACTTCAACGAACATTCTCCATAGATCAGCCGTTTCCTTAAGTTTAATGACCTTAAACATTTTTATAATATCTTTTGCATATACAGCCTGAAATTTAAAGATTGTGGTGCAAGCACTTACATTTTCCTTAAGTAATGTCTCGGCAAAAGTAAGTTCGGTTTCCGGATTTTCAGGGTGGTACTTGCTTCCTTTACCCTCTCTGAAGTAACGACGTGACGATACAGGCTTCTAGGTCTCAAGGAAGGGAGCCTGCAAGCACACATGCCGCCTCACCAGAGATCTTCCGGCAACCCCGTATGGCCTGTATATGTAACTCCCTCTGCGGCGCAGAACTACTATGGTCGGGCGATTCAGGGCGTACAGTAAGAAATTCCTATATTAACCCCTCTTTATGCAGAAATTGGATATCTTCCGGCTAATACCCAACACTGGAATAGTAGCTCTCCACAAAACAATTGGTTATAAATAACGTGTTAATAATTAAAATTATTCATTTTAGTGTAATAATGTTACATCATAATATTTTAACCTACAACGTGTCGCGTGTAACTTAATTCGGAGGCACTACACAAAGTAATAGTTTGCGTGTAAATTAAAATGATAATAAAATAGAAAAGTCATTTATTTTTATAATCAGATATTTAACATGGCATCTTTTTAGTTAAGAATGTCGGGAAGAACAATAGCGGGGGCGGGAATGATAGGTTGAGCGACAATGACTGCTTCAGGAATGCTTGGCTGTTCTACAACAATGACTGGTTCAGGAACGATGGGCTCAGGAACGACGGGCTTGTCCACTACGATAACTGACTCAGGAGCCTCAGGGTTTTCGACCACGATCACGGGTGTAGGAATAATAGGCTTCTCTTCGACAACCTCGGGGTTGGGAACGATTGGCCTGTCAATAATAACTGGCTCAGGGGTGGGGTTGCTCTCAACAGCTACATCAGAAGAGGACTGGATGTTGAGGATGATTTGAACTAGGGGAGCCTTAGCAGGGGGACCGACGGGGGTGGGCTTAACAGGCGTGGGGGGTAGGGGGAAATCAATGAGCGCGGGCCCAATAGAAATAGGTTCATAGTTGTCGACAATAACGGGTCCGATGGAAATGGGTTCCTCGTTGTCGACGAGTGCAGGTCCAATGGAAATGGGTTCCTCGTTGTCGACGAGTGCGGGTCCGACAGCAATGGGCTCGGGCTCGGCGAGACCAAGAACTTGGAGAAGCAACTGCTCGAGAGCAGCAGCAGTGGCGGGGTCTGTGCTTGGGCTCTGGATGGCGGCTACGATTTCCTGGATCTCCGGGTTCTCGCTGGCGATGACAGCGGGAGGAATTACGCTGGCCGAAGCCACGGCGAACAGGGCGAAAGCAATAAGGAATTTCATATTGCTGTGAAAAGAAATAATAATGAAGATTAATTGATTTGTCAGCATTGCAGGGACGTGTCCGTTTGGCGGGTTTAAGATCAACTAAATTATTTTTTTGCGTACAAACAATTTCATCTATACAATTTGAACAGAAAGTAAAATATGGAATTACTTACTTTTAGTTTAAAGTACAATGAGAAACTGTGTCAAAAAAAAATTCCCGGCTATTTAAACAGAAAGCTTTATCTTAAAAATAAATATAATCTTATGATAAAGATAAATGAACGCCTGATTATTTATTATTTGATCTTTTTAAAGTGTAAAATAAAGAAATACTTAAATCAAATATTAGAAAAATTTCTACCTTGTAATTGTAACGATTCAATTGTAATGTGATTAAGGAGGATATTTATTGCTTCTGGAGATTTAACTTAAAGCAAGATTTCTAAAGTGAAAATTACCGTATTCATATTTTAAAAACTATACCTAGACTCAAAAATAATTTGTACCTATTGTATTTTTCTTAAGTAATTGAGATTAAAAAAATATCATCGCTGACAAACATTGTTGCTAAACGGACTTTAGAATGTTAAATAACCTAACCAATTATCCCTAACGTAACTATACTCTGTCCATTTGTTTATTTTCTTTTTAACAATGCCATTAATTGTTCGAAATTAGCGACATCCCTCACACGTTACTGATTCGATTTGAAATAATAATCAATTTTATTCAAGAAGAACTTCAATCTAATGCAACAAAATATTTTAGTTTAAAATTAAATATTATTCTTTTTAATTAAAAATAAAATATCAAATGTATAAATAATAATAAATTGTTCATTAGGTAGAAGATAGTTATTGTTCTTTAATCTTGGTTTGAACTTCAATTCCAAGATTTAGACTTAATTTCTTGCAAGTAATTAATCATAGCGTATATACAGGGAGATTTGTTGAGAAGTGCCCAAATTTACACAGGAGGTTCAAACTCGGTAGTATAATCGTTTATCGAAATAAAAAACAAAGTTTTTTTTTTTCAATTTAAAAATGCCATTCTATTCCCTAAAAAACAGAACGTGTTGAAAATGCGGTAGTCATTCATAAATACCTAAATTTTATTTTACACGAACTTGTATGCGTGTTAGTTATGAATGATCGCGCGTAAATTAAATGAGTTGCGTATAAATCACGCACTTTTTGAGATAAGTTCAAATGAATGTAATTAATTACTTACGAGTGATTTAAAATATTTATCATTTTTTTATAAGTAACATTATTTATATAAAAAAATGGATACACTTAGAAAAGCCACCCTGTATAACATATATTTTATTAAATTAAAAGAAACAATACTTACACAAAAGTCAAATTATTTTATTCATATGACTGATTTATCTTACGTCAAGGCCTATTTTATAGTCGTGGGCACTTCACTAAGAGGGCGTTATCCGTCAATAAAGTAAGACATTATAGTAGTACACTACTCCAAAAAATTAACGATAATTCAAAAGTCAACTGTCAAAAAGAAAAACGAATGGACACAGTCTAACCTACATACTTACAATTGCAATACTTCTAAGATCGCTAGCCGCATTTCCTCTGTGCATAGTCATAAAGCAAAATATTGAATTAACATTTACCTTGAGATTAAATGAATTGAGATGCATAAATTCTACTCTAAAAAAGGAGACGTGCTACCCTAAAAGAACCAAATAGGAACATACAAGCTAAAACGATTTCGCTACGTTAAAGTCTTTTAATTAATTATTGTAGAATCACCTAGCAATCTATCCTTTATATTATAGATACATAAGCTCATCCCGTATATACAGCAGGTGTTATTCAAAATGACTATCATTAGAACGCAAATAAACTTATTTTTTCCGTGGGTAAATTTTACTTAATATTAAACGCTATACTTAAAATGAAAGCATCAATAGTCATTTGCAACTCCCAGTCCAATCTAAAATTTACTTTTGAATATTAAGTCTCGCCTTCGATTATCAGGTCAACACAAACGTATATTATTCTCCTGAAAAATTATCTGAATTTAACTGTTTTATGATAACTCGCGATAAATATGAACAATAATAATTTGCCAATAAAACGACATATGTAGTAATGAATTTTATGAACGTCTATAAAATAAAGCCAGTAGTATAATTCAAGAAGTAGGTAGCGCAAGTTTGATGTGTTCCGCGTGTTCATGTTGAATCAACAATGCAGTAATAAACTAAAATGAATTTATATTATTATTAATATACTTGTATGTTCTATACTTCTAATTTCTTTTAATATGTGAGAATTATTTAAGCCAATTTAATAACATTTGTTAAACTTAACTTTAATTGACTTAACAATTGCACCGTTTAACAAACTGTTATAAGTGTACTTTAACGTACAATAAATTACCACGTTTTGAATTTAAATTGATAATCTTATTAATTGTCTTATCTATTAGAAAACAAAAATATATATTAAACAATTCTGCATAAAATAGAGTAAAAGAGAGTTCGTCTTGGAATCACGACGCGTCGTTTAATTTATAATTAATAATTTTTAATGTGTTAATAGTTTTTAATTGAAATTATACTTCTTTTGCCGCGTTTTGGAAAAAAATATGTGCGTAAAACTTTTAAGTTGCGAGCGCACAGCGACCCACAAAGAGCGACACAATGCTTTGCAACCAACTTAACCATGGCAATTAAGAAAAGTAACTCATTAGGCCCAAAATAATTTTTATGTGTATTGTTTTGGACCTAATGAGTAGACCTACACTTACTGAAAGCATACACGCCAATGTTTCCGTGCATGCTTCCGGTGTATAACTATCGAAGCACGGTATTCGACTTCTATGGACATCTACAGCATTGATCTGCGTATTTAATTAAATTTATTATCCTTTCCGTATCGTTCAATCGTTTCAATCAAAGTAAAAAAAAAAAGAAAGATCGACACATACTGAAAAACTAAGCTCACACCATCCTTAGGACTTTTGTTGTTTTTATGGTAGGGTATAAATTTAAGAAGAGATAAATTCTTATAGTTAGCGATGAATAGAATTTTTGAAGATTTTGTTTACTACTATTCTCACATTTATTTTTTAAACAAAAACGTTGATTTCCTGACTTTGCCCTGTCCTTACCTACATTTTGTGCTTCGTCCATCATTGTTCTTCTCATAAAAATAACTTGTTTATTTTAACTTGTGGCAATGAAATTAGAAACAGAAACATTTAGATTTATTAGTCGGTGGCTCAGTTAACATTTGATAAAAAAAAACTAAATGAACGCAGAACTATTGAGACAACCAGATCCCACGAGCTTTCAATCCAGGATAGGTATGCCGAATGTAACGCTTTTCAGTGAAAACACATTTAAACCAAAAGCGAGCTCTGCTACCTTCCCCCGTTTTACCCTTTGGGTACGAAACCCTAATTAATGATTGAATATAACTCCGATATAAATTCGTTATATTAGCTTTTTAATTTTGATATAAGAAAATATATTTTTAAATTAAAAACTTTCGAAACTAGACAAAATAGGTGATACACATGGACCATTCTTAAAGTTATTGAAAAACTAAAATTTTGAAAATTAGTAAGGAACCCATAGTTTATTTTTAGACCAATAAGTAATTAAAGTAATAAAGGTGAACGAACAATTACTGTACGCATGAGTAAGACAAAAAAATGTGTTATGAGATAGACAGGAAATAGCTTATCTTAAAGTTTTATTTTGCTTGATATACGTATCGGAGCAATTTAAAAGGCATATAAAACTTACTATAAATGGTTCGCTCGTCACATTTGCGGTATTGGTGATTGACCAAGCGAAAATATCAGTAAGTAAGAAAATTTGGACATTTTCTTTCTTACATTTGTTGTATAAACAATTACATAGTTTTATAAACAATCAAGTTATAACATAGTATTTATGTAGAAACATTACAATCAATGAAATAAATTTAAATTTATTACTTATCATAATTTAAAGCGCTAACTTTGTGGTTTGGCAGAAATTTTAACTTGCTAAGTATTCGGCTGTGGAAATGTTGTTATAGTTTTATTTAATATTTTTAATATATCACGCACTTAAGGTCCATCTTAGTCCTTATCATCGCGAAAAATTTCACAAACAAGCAATAACAAAGACAAGGTTCATCGAGACTCGGAAAGTCGGTTACAAAATTGTCCCTTGTGGGATCGAAGTTGCAACAGGATTTAATATCATAATGGCGATTGACTTCGAGAAATCTTAGCCATTGCGTCGTCATTAATGTAATTTTTTACAACGAGCCTCCATGTCACACATTAACGCGAAAAAATAATGTTTTTTTTTTAACTAATAAGTTCAAATATATAAAAAAATACTATTCGCAACTTTGACTGTCTCACAAATTCGGCACATTCCCCAATATTCTACAATTGTTATATTTTACAGGCCGCCACAATGAAATTCTTCCTTGCGTTCGCACTCCTATTCGCTGTGGCTTCGGCCCGTGGACTCCCTGCTGCTGTGGTAGCCAACACAGATCCTGAGATCCAGGAGATCGTGGCCGCCATCCAGAGCCCCAGCACCGACCCAGCCACTGCCGTCGCCCTCGAAGAGATGCTACTACAGCTCCTCGGCATGGACAAACCTGAAACAGTAGAAGTAGGACCCGCCCTCGTCGACCAGTACGAGCCTATCTCCATCGGGCCAGCTCTCGTCGACTTCCCCGTTCCTGACGGTGGAGCCGGTTCAGCCAAGCCCTGTTAAGCCTTCTCCGTCGCCTCTTGTCCAAATCATCGTCAACGTCAACAGCAATGTTGCTGGTAACCCCGTTGTGGTCGAGCCAGTCAAGCCAGTGAAGCCGGTCATGCCGCCTGCGCCCACTCCCGTCCAAGTTGTCGATGCCCCTGAGGCACCTGAGCAGGTGGTCGTAGTTGACAAGCCCATCGTCGCCCCTGAGCCAGCCGAGATACCCGAAGCTCCCGAGTCCGTCATCATTGCTGAGCCCATCATTGCCCCTGAGCCAGCTGAAACACCCGAAGCTCCTGAGTCCGTTGTCGTTGCAGAGCCCATCATTGTCGCCCCCGCTATCGTCCTTCCTGAAATTCTCAACTGATTAATTTGTTACCAAACGTTCAACTGTACATAACAAAAATGATTAAATAAACATATGCATTCAATAATTTGTAAAGTTATCTATTACCATTTATAGATTTGGACAAAAAATTATGCCAAAAAGATTTGGTAAAGCATAGTATATTCTCGGTGGTAGGGCCACGCAACAGCCTCGGCTGTTGCACGAATGGGCAGGCTCGTCCGGGTACATCCGGTACGTCCGGGTAAATACCACGACATCACAGAAGAACGACGTAAAGTGGAAGTATAATACTATCTCGTTTCGTCTGGTAAGTGCACATAACAACACATAACAACGGAACTTTTCACAAAAAAAAAAATATTCTCAAATGACGGCAAGCTGATTGAAAAAGTTTTAGTTTTCTAGGCGATTGTGAAGTGCCTCAGCTTTTTTTTTTGCACTACAAAAAGATGTCGTAACTTTTTTTCGGTCTAGCCCCTCAGCCTGCGAATAAATCTAAATGATAACGTGCTATAAGTTACTCCGTTCGGAAAAATATCATTACAAATGTCATTTGTTAGAAGACGGAGAATGTGGACTAAGAGAGTATGGAAGCTAACTAAAGTTTAATAAAACGGCAGTTGAATCCTCATTATGACAAGTGTTTTTGAAAAACGCGCCTTCACCTGATTTCTTTATAAAAATGCTGGACTTAAATGATATGTATTTATTAACATAGCGAAATTCCCGTTTAAAACACAAAAATTCTTTCACGTATTCTTCAGTAATTAGTTAAAGTAGTAATTAAAACCACATTTAAACAAAATAAGTAAAATAAAATTTCACGCGTATACTTCCAAAATACCATAATATGGTTTTTTTCACATTCAGGTTTGTGTGCCACTATATTAATATTATAGTTACATAGTGCTGAGTATATTCACCATGACTTATTACATGCGAGTATAAATTCTGTATGGATTTATATTTAAAGAATGACACATAATAAACATAAGACAGGGTATTAAAGTAGAAGGCAAGATATGAATATCAACAAACGATTTTATGAAATATGCCTAATACGACTTTCGAAAATAGAATAATGTATTAATAAATAAGTTTTATCAGACAGGAACTTGAGGATAACTTACACAGTATTCAGATGATAAGGTATAATAATAAATAACATATCGTGTACGTGCTGATTATATGTGTATAGGAATGCGCTACAAATTTTTTGAGGAACATTTTACTATTCAAAATGTATGTATGTATCTCACAAAATGATTGATAAATTGGCTTTATTGTCTCCTTGCTAAAAGCGTAACATCATCCATTAATTAAACATATTAGCGCTGCAGGCTTCATTCAAGCAAGTAATCGACAATGCAAGTAATAGTTTAATCTAAGTTGGCCGAATACTGAAACATTACTTAAATATTTAAAGGCAACTTAAACGTTTGAGCAGCTCGTAAACACTAAATTCGTCAAGTTAATATGTACGTAAACGCTACTCAGTGAAAATTTCGTATACTGAAACGCCACTTAACGCTATTTAGCTGTCACACCAATTGTCAAAACAAAACAATCTTATTATATGTAGTAAGTAAAAAACTAATATCATTTTAACTTTTAAGGGGATTTCAATTTATATAATCTTAATTTTAAAATTTGTCTTTCTAATCTATATTTGTTAATTTTTATTCTATTTTAATTGTTAAGAAATTTTATTGAAAATTTATTCAAATTAATATCCCTTTTTGTGAATAATAAAGCTCCAGGGTCCGATCAAATAACAAATTAATTACTTAATTCTACAGCACCTGTCATAGCTCCGGTACTAACAAACCTGTTTAATGAAATTATAATAACTGAGAATATACCAGCTGATTGGATGAAATCAACTATAATATTACTTCACAAGAAGGTAGATAAAGGGGATATAAATAATTACAGACCTATAAGCTTAATGTCCAATATTTACAAGGTATTTTCTAAAATAATTTTGTCCTGTATTGCTCATGTACTAGATGAAAACCAACCAAAAGAGCAAGCCGGGTTCCGTAGTAATTTTTCTACGATTGAGCACATCCATGTTCTAAGACAGGTCTTACAAAAATATTGAGATTACAAGAAAACGTACTACATTGGGTTTGTAGATTTTCACAAAGCGTTCCATGTTCCCTGGAACATGGATACCTATGGGAAGCTCTGAAATGCCAAGGTGTTCAAATTAAATACATCAGGATTCTGTATATTATTTACTCAGGAGGCACAGCCCAAGTAAAGCTGGAGACAACAGGAGAACCATTCCCAGTCCAAAGAGGAGTTCGTCAAGGGGATCCTATTTCACCACAATTGTTTACAGCGGTTCTAGATATGATTTTTAGAAATCTAGAATGGGAAGATATGGGTCTTAACATTAATGGCGAAAAGTTAAACCATTTGCGGTTTGCCGATGATTTAATACTGTTTTCTGAAGATTCACGGAGCTTAGAACTAATGCTGCAACAGTTGGCTGATGAAAGTGCTACAGCGGGACTATCAATGAATATAAGCAAAACAAAAATAATGACTAACGCCCAACAATCCGATTCAGATACTATAATGATTAACGACGAAAAAATAGAGTATGTTAATGAATACATATATTTAGGACAATTAATATCACCCGTTGATAATATGCATAAAGAAATAAATAGAAGAATAACAAATACATGGAAAAGATTTTGGAGCCTTAGCGAAATAATGAAAAATGTTGAAATACCTATAAAAATTAAAAAAAACTATATACAACACTTGCATACTCCCGTGCTTAACATACGGATGTCAAACGTGGGCTTTAACAGATCAGCTATCGAACAAAATAAAAGTGTTCCAAAACAGCATCGAACGAAGTGTAATAGGGGTAAAAAGTAATGACAGAGTGAAATTAGAAATAATAAAAACCAAGACAAAATTCAAAAATGCGCAGATCGTTAGTATAAGGTTAAAATGGCGTTGGGCGGGACATACGTTAAGGGATACGAAAGAAAAGTGGACTAAAATAATAACCGAATGGTACCCTCGAGGCGACAAAAGAAATAAAGGGAGACAGTGCAAACGATGGGAAGACGACTTCAGACAAATGGCGGGCCCTAAGTGGACCCAAATAGCCAGAGATCGAGCTGCATGGAAGTCCTTGGAGGAGGCCTTTGTCGAGAGACAAGCTGCTACAGATTATTAAACCGACTACCGATATGCTTAAAGACCACAATTACGTGTAACTAGTATTCATTTAAATAGTGATTAGTATAACACGTAAGAATAAGATTGTAAAGAGTAACAGTAATAAAGGCTTATTTTATTTTATTTTATTTTATAATATCCCTTAATTATCAGCCGTTTAGCTCAGTGGCTAGAGCGTCAGGCCGCGAATGCCGAAGACGTGGGTTCGATTCCCACAGCGGCGACAATCTTTTCGTACTTTTTCTACATGTTTTAATGTTTAATCTTAAGTGCAGAGATTAGCACTATAAAACACTTTAAAATTTATGAAAAGCAATGGCGACATCTCTCGTTCGAATTATCGTTGTAAAACGATATTCGAAATTCTTTGTATGCTGGAAAGGATATAACAATAGATGCGCCAAGCATTGCTTCAAATGCTAAATAACAATGTAGAAAGAAGGCGTTAAGATTTTCATCGCTGTGGTTATCAGCCGTTTAGCTCAGTGGCTAGAGCGTCAGGCCGCGAATGCCGAAGACGTGGGTTCGATTCCCACAGCGGCGACAATCTTTTCGTACTTTTTCTACATGTTTTAATGTTTAATCTTAAGTGCAGAGATTAGCACTATAAAACACTTTAAAATTTATCTTGACAAATTTAGTGTTTACGAGCTGCTCAAATGTTTAAGTTGCCTTTAAATTTTAAGTAACGTTTCAGTATTCGCCCTACTACTACTTGTATGGTCGATTACTTTAATAATTCTCTGATTCTTCTTCAAATAAATAGGATAATTATGAAGATTCTCTACAATACAGAATAATTTTGTCTTATATTGGGGGTATTTAATAAATTAAATAAAATTACAGTAAGAAAAATAGTCGAAATAATTATTCGTTGATAATGCGATCGTATCGCAATGCGATAGATATGGTGAAACTACTCAGCGGTAGGTAGGACAACTATACGGTGGTAGGGCCACGCAGCAACCTCGGCTGTTGCACGAATGGACAGGCCCGTCCGAGTAAGTACCACGACCTCACAGAAGACCAGCGTAAAGTGGAAGTATGACAAATACTTTCGCGTTTCGACGGGTGAGTGAGGTAGCCGGAGCTCAATTTTCAAAAGGATGTCAACGCATCTGTAACCCTCGGGTGTGGCAGATGTCCATGGGCGGCGGTATTCACTTAACATCAGGTAAACCGTCTGCTCGTTTGACAACTTTTCGCATAAAAAAAAACTCAGCGCAGTATATTCACTTCGAAAGACATAAATATAGACAAACACCAGAGGGTGTTAGAGTATATTTTTATATTTTTGTGTTTTGTATGTATGTTTCTGTTATTTACCCAGATAGGTGACACATGTGAGGAGATGGAAAAATGACGATTTTTTGTTTTCTGACCACCTTTACTTACGTCGAATCCATAACAAAAACAATAAAGTCCCTTAAAGGACTATTTTATAAAATGTGCCAATTCCACTGAGCAAACTGTTGTACGTTAAATCGGTTTCGCAAAACGAGGCGACAAGATTTAATGTAAACCGAAAAACTGTTTTTTCTTTCAGACTTGCAATTTGATAATATTTATATATTCTCTAATATCAGTGATTTTACTTCCTCTATAAATATTTATTAAAACAATTTAACTGTATGTATATCGCGTAGCGCTTTCGTAGCCGACATTAAATAAAGCTACGGAAAGAGTACGCGCATTGTGAAGTAATATGCCGGTATCTAAATCTAAGACAAATCATAAACTGTGGTTCTTTAATTCATTTCTGAGGGAGCCCAATTTATGTTTCCAATTATTTTAATATCAAATTTACATTTAGTATATGAAAATTAGAGTACACAGTATCTAGCAACGTTCTATTTTTTTTTGTTAATGAATCTTTTAAGGTCAGAAAGGTACATAGTAATAATACACCGATACTTTTAATATTTTCACGAGAAAAACACCCATTTGAGTACTAAATTTTAACCGGGGAAATTATTTGACAAATTGATTTTTATACGTAAGAAATCCCGAATTTTGTAAATAATGTAATATTATTAGGTATTGTCTTATGCCATATTATTAGGCATTTTAATTTATATTAAATAAATTTGCCATCTGAACGAGTTAGTGTTAAATCAGTTACACTCACATTTTATGAGGCCTACCTCTTGCGATCATAGTTTTCCTTAAAACTGCACGCAGTTTCTAGAAGTGCTTGTCAAAATCTTCTTCCTACTATACTGTTTGTTACTATATGAAGGACATATTTCTTGCCTTGTCTTATTAAAAATCCTTAAGATGTCATTTTAAAAATATAAAACTTCATCAACATTATTAGCAGAGCAATAAATTCCTATTAACTTATAAGGTTGAATTTTAAATGTTTTAGTAAATTAAAGCGTTTACATATTGCTCTTTGAATTTACTTTTAAAATCTATCTGAACTTAGACGTAAGTAAAAATCAATATAAAAACTTTTAAGTTTTTAATGTGTTTTACAACATTAGATATAATATCGTCATAACGTATTCATGTTGTGAAATAATTTTACACCGCTGTTTATCTACATATACTTATGGAGATAAGATTGAAAAATAAACTCCAGGAGACATGGAAATTTTAAATTTTATTTAGGTTAACCCGTTTATCCCAAATAAATACGTTGTATGCAATCTACAAAGGGGCTTCACACTGAAGAGTCCTTGTATCAACAGCTAGAAGATTTTATAAAATTACTTTAATGTTTAGTTTCCTTGAAATATCCAATCAGCTTCAATACTTCCTCTTTTCTTTACTCTCATTTTTAAATAATAGTTTACATTGTTTTTTAAAATAATAATAAAAAATATAATATAATAATGACAAACTACAAAACGTGATATAATTACAAGATTTAAATTGCCTGCACTATGAGTAGTCATTTAGTCTATCTCTACTGTAGTAGTCATTTTTATATTGGAATTATCGGAATATTTAAAATGTCAAAAATTAAAAAAACTGCGTTTTGAAATTGTAAATTGTTTATTAAAGTATAAAGTTCATGACAGATAAACAGTCTTCACAATTTTATAACGCCCTAAATTTTATAAATTACCTGATTTTATATACTGATAAACTTCTGTTAAGTTATCATTAGCCATCGAAATGTTATTGGTGTAATAAAACAAGATTGATAAGTAATCATTTACAATTCTCATGAAAGGAATAATGAAATGCATCATTGTTCCTAAATTTTAAAAATATAAGAAGTCAATTTAATATATTGAATTAAGTAAAGTGTGACAAACAGACAGAAGTAGCAATAAAATGCAATAACATTCATTTTCTATGATTTAATAATCTGTCGAACAAAACGGAAAATAAATCTGTATTTTCCGTTTTGTTCGACAACTAGTAACTGTACTTAAAACTATAGAAACCGGAGACATTAATGATAACGTTAACCGCTCGAAATGAAGTCAAAAATTTTAAATGTCCGTAAGTATGTAGGTACTTGTGTATCGTGATAAAACTTACATTATTAAGAAAACCTTTATAAATTTCATCTGCAAGAAGGTATAAGGAGACCAGCCATTTCTTTTTTAATTCAAAACTGGCCAGCACTTGACTGCCATCCCACCCGATGGTAAGTGGCGATGCAGCCGTTGATGGTAAGCGCGCTAGCTAAGTAGAAACCTATTCACTGTTGCCGTGAAGACGCCTACGTTGTAATCGGACGGAAAGATGGACGCCGACAGGTTATTCCATTCCTTAGCTGTACGGATGATAAATAAAGAAGCGAATCGTTTAGTTCTTGTATGTGGAACGTCGACAGCATAAGGGTGGAGCACCGCCGAACGCCTGGTTGTCCGATGATGGAAAGGGGCGGGAGGAATAAGATCATGCAACTCCAACGCACACTCTCCAAAATGTATCCTGTAGAAAACCGAGAGAAATTAATAAAAATTATTTCAATACAATATAAAACTAAGAAACCTATGTGAATATAAGAAATGTTCAAATTTTCTTATTATATTATATCAAGGGGAACATGAACAACACCTTGCTATTTCTATTGAAAATTTAAAACAAAAAAATAGTATGATAAGAAATAAAATAAAACCTTTATTACGAATAGTGAACAAAGTTTTGATAAAAATCCCTCATCTAAACTGAATCTTATAAGGAGATGAAAAATTTTGATTTCCTATAATTATTTTTTATATCAGGAGAAGTATTCAAAATTTCAAATACCTTAAGTTTAAAATGAATTAACCTTAGTTATTTTTCATTAATTAAAATTATTTTTAGCCTAAGAGAGTTATAGAGAAAAACTATCATAGTTCAAGGTTTACATGCAATCATTGCTAAACTACTAATGCGAGCTTTATTAAAATAGTAGTATGGTGGTTATATTCACTAAATTATGTTTTACAAAATCTTACGTAACTGATAACTCGAAAACATACTAAGCAGGGGCGAATGAATTAGTCTAATAAAAAATTTATAAATACTATAAATAAGCTTGTTTAAAATAAGCAAAATAATTTCACAAGACTATTGAACTATATGTATATGTATATGTATATGTATATACGTTCAATACTTACTTTTTATTAATAAATTCAGAAGTTATAAGATTGAAATTAATAAAGAGCTAACAGAGCGAAGGATTAAAAAATAACAATATATCCGTTACTTTTGGATATTATATATCTTGTTTTACAAAAAGTCACAAATTACGTTTTGCAAATTTATGGCCATTAAATAATTGGTTAATTATGTCTTTACATTCGTCAATAGTTCATTTCGACATCTAATCATTTTAATTGGGACAATAACTAGTTATTGTTCCAATTTAAATCATTAAATGCTTCCGCCTCAAAGCCAAAATCCCTCCTTAAGTCGGGGATTAGATATAGTGCGATTAAATACATACGAGTTGGTAAATTTGATAAAAAGTAAAGTATATATGAAGAAAGAAAGATCGAGTAAACATAGTTGAAAGAAAAAAGAAATTTCAAAAGGTGGGTTAGAAATATTATATCAAAAGCTAACAAAAAATTTAAATGCGTTAGTATAGTAAAAGTTGTTTCTTCAATGTTATCGTATTAAAATAGCATTGAAGTTTAGCTTTTATTCCTAGTCTAACTATATCTGTCGTCAAGGGGAAATTTTTACATGTGGCTTGTTAATAAACATCTTCTCGACAGTTACATCATGACGCCTACTTACATTACGTTACATTTACAGAAAACATGAAGTTCCTATTATGCACCGCTGCCATCTTGGCCCTGGCTGTTGCCAGCCCTACCAACCGGGTCATGGTGCAGCCAGGCCCCGCGGGACCCGCTCCCATCATCGACTTGGACCAGCTTGCGCCCATCGCCATCGGACCCGCCATCATTGGCCACCCAGAAAACATTGCAATTGGACCCGCCTTCGTTGATACCCCAGACAACGTTGTCATTGGGCCCGCTCTCATTGACTTCCCCTTACCTGACGGTGGTGCCTTGACTGAGCCCAACCCCGTCATGCCCGCACCCCCTAAGCCACCAACTAGCGCTCCCCTCGTCCAAATCATCTTGAACATCAGGTCGCCATCTGACGTCGCCGTCGACGCCCCCTCCCTAATTCCCACCCCTGTGCAAGTTATCGAACAACCCATCGTCCCTGAGCCCGTTATCGTGGTCGAGCAACCTATTGCCCCCGAGCCAGTTATCGTTGTGGACAAGCCTATCGTCCCCGAGCCAGTTATCGTTGTGGACAAACCTATCGTCCCCGAGCCAGTTATCGTTGTGGACAAACCTATCGTTCCCGAGCCAGTTATCGTTGTGGACAAGCCTATCGTCCCCGAGCCAGTTATCGTTGTGGACAAACCTGTCGTTCCCGAGCCCGTCATCGTTGTCGACACACCCGTCGTTCCTGAGCCCGTTATTGTGGTAGATGAGTCTGCAGCTCCTGAAGGAGTCATCGTCGCCCAGCCAATCGCTCCCGTGCCCGTAATTAACATTCCCCAAACCATCAACTAAACAGACAGATCTTTAACTATGCGTGCTGTGATAAGATGCGACTTATATAATGATTTTAATGAACTCAATTTTCAAAATAATATGATCGAATAAAGGTCTGTTAGACTTTCAAAGTGTTTGTTAAACTTGTATTTATTATTAAAGAAATTATTTACTACTACGCCTCTTTTATTTGCCGCCACTTTTGTGTGAAAAATAAAAAAATTACCATTGGTTAGAAACATTTTTCGTCATTATTCAAGTGAGTAATTTTATACTTGAATAATTAAACTTGTAATATAGCTGTTTAAGGTAAAAGAGCAACGTAACTGTAACAGCAAAGTAAGGTATTAAAATTAATGGCTTGATGTTTCATATATGACATTGATTTGATGTTATTATTTATTCCCAATGTAATTGATAATTCATAAATTCGCCAACCTAAATAGATTACTGGCTACTAGATATGTGCATTGCAATAAAAAACAAATATAATATAATACATAAAACGTAATAAATAAAGAATATATTATCAAACTACGAATGATTTGATGTTGACACATCAAAAATTTTAATACCAAACGATTTCATTAACAATGATTTTGGTACTATTCAATGATCCTGATTCAAATTATTATAAATAAATTCAGGACGATTGTCACGTACACTTCAGGGATTTCTAAACTTCAGGATCTCCTACGAAACCCACCGGCTTGTGACTGCCGTACCTCTGTTCAACGTGTGGTCAAATATCTTTGCCGGACTAACTTTCTGTGACGTTTAGGATTGTTATAAGATGGGAATTTCAGTTGTCACAACTGGGCATCCATTCCCAAAGCCCGAGAGTCTCCGTCTTTACTCAGCCCCTCCTGTATAACCTGCCTATTGGATATTTGGATATCTGTCCTTCCAAGCAAAGTACTCAGCGTTTTGGTACAGCCATTGCCACAAATAAGTTTTGTTCGTCTCCATATTAGAACTTTCAAAATAAATTCTACGTTATAATATCTCTCCGTTTTAAACACGAATTTTAAAACCGATATGTTTTCATTGCATACCAATTTATCGCTCAAGACATTAAAAATATTTCTTTTCCACAGAAATCATAAAATACTTCTGTTCTTGGATAAACTGCCATAAATTATATTACAATCGTAGATAACTTTGGCAACCGAAATATCTGCAATGAAAGATACGCGTATGTATGTCATAAAATTTCGATGTAATAATCACAATGCATAAGTGGTATGACTCAAAGACTTCAAAGACTCGACATCAGTGATTATTAAATTTAATAGTCGTGGAAGTCAGTTCAAGTTTTGGCCATCTATCCAACTCTATCCTCTAACCGTGCATCAATAAAAATATATAAATACTATATTAAATCCACTCGGCGTTACCGACTCGAACGGTCAAACTGACCGTTGGAGTCGGTACCGCGACACACGCTACATACACTATTAATCACACACATGGCTCAATGCGTTCTCAGGAGAACGCGAGGTCGATAATTACACACATAAATACGTGGACAAACACCCAGATCTGAATCAATTTTCTGTGGGTCACACAAATAATTGTCCCGTGTGGAAAACCTTGAACTGCGCCACGGAGCCACCAAAAGTTACTTCTAAGTCCGAGCTACTAATTAGTTTTATACTATACACAAAAAGCACAACAAGGTATTTTAGATGCTGAAAATCCAATAAAATTTTCTAACGAAGCCGCAAAATGTTTATGAGACGTTAAAAAATTGGCAAGACCTACAAAATAACATCCTGTCATGACAACGGTTTATCAATAACGTTTTGTCAATTATTTCAACTTTTTGTGTAAAACTCTTTAGATAGGGCCACGCTACAGTTTTCGCCGTTGCACGAATGGGCAGGCCCATCCGGGTAAGTACCACGAACCCACAGAAGACCGGCGTAAAGTAGTAGTGTTACATTTCTGCGTTTTGTCTGGTGAGTGAGGTAGCCGGGGCCCACTTTATTTAAAGGTTGCGACACATTTGCACGCAAACGGGTCTTCATCTGGTGAAGCGCTAACTCGCCACTTTCCCACATAAGAAAATTGTTACTCAATAAGGTTATTCATATTCTGATAATGTTATATAGCGCCATCTCGTAGAGTTTTGAGCTACTAGTTGGCTAACATCAAATTGTACCAATGTAAATTCTTCAATTTTTTTTTAAGAGGGCGCTGTATTGATTAACAACAATAATATTTCTTAATGATATAGTTTTATGTAAGAAAGCACGATTATATTATAGCTTATATTATCTGATCTAATTTGATAATTAAAACGTGATGTTAATATAAAATTTCTTCAAGAGAGTCATTTTCCGGGATTACCGAAATATAATATTAAGTATATAACAGACTTACATAGACTTCGTAGATTTAAAAAAAAATATATATGACTATTGATAAATGAAATGTAAGTTTCTTATGTCGATGAATAAATGATTTTGATTTGATTTACATACAGAAATGCTCGTTTGATGCTACGACTAGATGTAAAAATAATGGTTATACAAAAGTTAGGCGACCCGATTGGCATGGAGAGTAGTGAACCTTCCTCTTGCGCCAGAGGGTGTGGGTTCGATCCCCACTACTGGAAAAAGATTGTGTGAACCGTGTCTGTGTGTTTATATATCAATAATAGATATTTATTTACAAAAGTATGTTTATCAGTTTTCTAGTACTCATAGTACAAGCGTCGCTTAGTTTGGGATTAGAGAACGTTGTGTAAAAATGATGTACATATTTATATAATATATTTATAAAAAGTTGTTAACTTACCCTTGAAATATTTGAATAAAAGAATACACATTTTTTATTCAAAATATAATATAATCTTTTTTTATGAAAGAAGGTGGCAAGCGAGCTGGCGTTTCACCTTATGTTAAATGATAACCATCATCAATTGGCGGCCCATTTGCAACAACCGTAGGATTGCAGATACGTTGCCACCTTATTATAAAGTGGTCCCCGGCTACCGCACTCACCAGACGAAACGCAGAAGTATAACACTTCCATTTCACGTCGGTCTTCTGTTAGGTCATTGTACTTATCCGGACGGACCTGCACTTTTGCGCAACAGTGCATTCTGTTGCGTGGCCCTATCAATCAGATATACAGCGTGTCGTTTCCATCGCGACAATAAATGAACACACATATAGGGGATAACTTTTTAAAGTTGTATTAAACATTTAAATTCTTTAAACATCAATATTTACAGAGTTATTAAATTTTCCAAAACAAAGAATTTTAGAACACCCTTACCTATAAAAGCGTAACGTAAAGTTCATGAAGTAAAGGTCACAAAGCATATGAATGGGTTGAATGAATTTAAAAGAGACAAAACATACTGTTAGAAGGAGAAGCTTGTAATACGACGCTGTGGCTCGAGTTGTATAGGATGTTACAAATTTTGTTTCTTTTTTACTTAATTAATTTGTTTGAAAAATATTTATTTTAATTATGGATTTTGTTTAACGTTAATATTTTTTTATGATTATTGGCAAGTAGCGTTAGACGTGTGTTCATTTATTGTCGCGATGGTAACGACATGCTGTATACATATTTTATGTCTATCTTATGTCTTTCTGTCTGAATGTTAAGTCTTCAGCCTATTATACGTAGTCGCGGGTAGCAGCTAGTTAATAATGTCTTCCATTTGACAGTACTACGGGCAGCCGCAGTATTTGCCGCCAACTCACCCGCCCACCGCGCCACCGCCGAGCGCCGATAAGTCCAAGGAGGATCTCGGCAAAGGAGATCCCAAGTCCGATCTGAAGGTAATTTCTTTTATGTGACACGCTGTACATATATCTGATATAAATACATATAATCAGATATTCTAAACGCACCAATCTTGTACATATTGTTATTTAGCGATAAAAGATATAACAGAAATAAATCTACTACGCTAAAGACATCGGTGTGTTTTTGCGTCAAGACATTTTGGTGTGACTTATAAGCTCTTGTTTTTCTTTAAAACGGCGACTATCCTTATGATTGGTTAGCAACTTTTTTGGAAACTTATTAAATAAATTATGACTTAAAGGAATATGTTCACGTTGAGTCACTGCGTAGTTGACATTTTGTTAAAAAGACGATGAGGAAACAATAACAGGTTTGTTCGTTCGTTTGAGGTTACGTTCTATATAGTCACGAAAATATACGGTTTTGTTCGGTCAAAACAGTCAATTAAGGGTTACATTAATTCCCAGAAAGCTGATTAGTGTTTTTATTATTACTATAAAATTATTATAAAAAAAAATATGAAAAGTTCTCATCGTTCCGCACGTGCATAAAAAGTTCACAAAAAAAATTTTTAGGCAAACAACATCAGGCAAAATTGTGCACACACAATCATCTACAAAAATTGTTCTTACATTTTTTCCTAAGAATTGTTTACAGTGTCTAATCTTTACCAAATTATATGATTTATTTGGACAAGTATATACTTAAAGATGATTATAATGAATGATATTCAATTACGTGTTTAAATAATAAATTTTCGTTAATTAATGGCATTGCAAATTCTTATTCCTGGACAATATTTTTTTTTCTATCGTTTTATAGCATACACCCCAGGATAATTACAATCGATTGATACATTTATTTATTAATTCCAACCATAGATTACCTGATCTGGATATGTTTATATTATCTTTAAAGATAACCTCATCAGTCAGGCAAAGTCCACGCGATAACCACGATAGTATCGCACCACGCTATTCGAAGATAATTCATTTCCGGATGACACGAGTACCTACATAGTAACATAGTAGAGATTATAAGCTACTTCTGGAAATGGCGCTGAATGAATGTCTGCAGCTGATACGACATACAATTTTTTATTACAGTTGACGTTGGTAAGGCCGAAAGAATTTGAAAATTAGTAATTGACAATTTTTCGTAATTTTTTTTTTGAATTTCGTTCAATCTAAAATCGGTGATTTAAAACGTAGATAATGTTTTCGTATCGCCGATTTTAGACCGAAAAC